TGGGGAGCTCTCTGGGGAACTAGGCCTTCAGCATCCTGTAGTTCCACCCCACTGTAACCACAGTCACAGACAAACACAACTTTCTCAGGGGCAAGCCTCACTTCTGGAAATGTCCTGAAACACTCAGCCACCTAGCATCGATGTTTGAAAGGAATCTAAAGTGGCCCACAAGCCATTGCAGAGATTTGAAATGGCTCAGGCTCCCACGTGCACATGGGGCACACTGGGCCTCCAGGCCTCTGTGCACACGTGCAGGGACACTGGCTCTGGAGTGACAGTTGAGGGACAGTTGAGGGTCCGTGCTGTTGCTAGGCTACGAGTGTTCCAGATGAAACATTCCAAGCCTCTGAGCTTCGCAACCGAGGTGTGGCAGCGAGATCTCTTGGCTTTCCTATAGCGCTAGCACTGAGACTGGGAGGTGGCAAGGGGCCAAGTGGGAAGGGAGTGGTGTTGGAAGGGGAGGGGAGTGGTGTCAGAAGGCGGAAGGGCACATCATGAAGAAAGTGGTTAAGTTCATGAGCTGGGTGGGCTTCAGGAATCTTGAGGGTCCTGAGCCTTTGTACATCATCGATAAGAGTGAGCTACCAAAGCTCCACAGAGCTGCATATTTAGGCTACGATGAAAAACTGCGGAAGTTGCTGTCACGTAAGAAAAATGCCGTAGACAGCAGAGACAAGTATGACAGGTAACAGTGGTGGGACTGGGGTGGGGGCGGACCTGGGAGGAGCTGCCAACTATGGTTGTAAGACATGAATTTTAAATTGCCTTCCCATGTCAGAGATGTTGGAGTGTGAGACAATGAGCATGTTAGAATCATTGAAGTACAGTGTTGTCTCTCATCCTTGCAGCAGCAAAGTAGATATACTATCATTTTACTTAATTGAAATGTTGTCTTTGTAAAATAGTAACGGTGACAATTATAACATTATCTAACAATGACTGAGCTGTTGTTGTGGAAGGAACTGCCAGACACTCTGCATAGCTTTTCATTTAAGCATCACAGTGGCGTCCTGTAAGGTAACTACTACTTCATGCCCATCTTGTTGATGAGGACACGGAGGCACAGACAGGCTAAGTGACAGCTAATAAGGGACAGTGTTAAAGTAGAAGTCAGACCCAAGTTGAGCTGAATCTCAATGGCATGCCCTTTCTATTCAAACAGGTTGTTCTTCCATTAAAGGGGTGAGTAATAAGAGCTAATAAATATTGTTCTTTCTCCATAGAAAGAACTAAGATAAGAAGACTAAATGTTAGTTTTAAAGGGGTAGGAATAGCATGCTGTTGAATGTTTACAGTTACATGAGTAATTGTATCTTTGCACTAGTATGCTCTAACTTCCTAAACAGTCCTCTCATGTCCGCAGGACTCCGCTACACGTAGCCTGCATCAGCGGCTGTCCAGCAGTGGTGGCTCTCCTTACCCAGTTCCACTGTGATCTGAATGCTCGTGACAAGGAAAGGACGACAGCTCTCATCAGGGTACGTAGCTGCCAACCGTGTCCACGTGAGATGGATTTGATTTAATTACTTAGAATAAAAATTAACTTATCTGTTTTAAACATAACAAACTGATGGAGCTTGGGGAATGTTAACTTGGAATGCCTGGCACTTACAGTCTGTCTCTTGGCATGATGCCAACAGGCTGTCCAATCCCTGAACAAGAGATGTGCCGGTATCCTGCTGGAACACGGTGCTAACCCAAATCTTGAGGACGGCAATCAAAACACTGCTCTCCATTATGCCATCTTGGAAGAGAGCGTGTCGATTGCAACACAGCTGCTTCGCCATAATGCAAATATCGAGGCGATAGACAAGGTATAGCTCAACTAACTTTATTTACAAGATATTTGAAATACAGGGTCTTTTCTAGCTACAAGTGTTTTATTTATAGTAATATGTATACTGAATGCAATACATCAGGTCCTGTTACCATGGAAGCAACTCCAAAGCCAAGGCCAGGGGCTAGAGGTAGTGCCCACAGAAAGGGCAGAGCTCTGTCTCCCAGCCACACTTCTACCCCAGAAGGAACAGCTTCCTGTTAGGAAGTGCCTGGGAGTGAGTGGTAGGCTCAGCGCCTGCAGAAGATGAAGGCTTGCGGGGAGTGAAGTGATGGCAAGGGCTGGCTGCCTGCAGCGGCAGGGCTGCTACTGGGGATGGGTGGGAGGAGGGAGGAACCCAGTACCCAGTAGGGGGAGCTGGGTGACTGCACCTGGACAGGGGAGGCAGCAAGCCACAGGCCCTGAGCACCCCAGGATCCCAGGTTCTAGAATTTGGGCAAGTGAGGTCAGGTCATGTTTGACAGCCAGCAGGGGCATTCACTTGTGCTGGTGGCCACATGGCCCTCCATGTGTACCTTGGGGTCTTCCATGCTCAGTCTGGTGTAGCTCCCTGCGGGGCTGTGGCTATAGGTGGGGAGCAAGTGATGGCAAAGCTGGTCCTCTTGCTTTTTCTCCTGGCTCTCCCCTGAAGATTTTAATTGAGTAAATCTAAAGTCTGGACACAGGTATTTAGAAATACTTCCCTGAGATTCTGATACAACCCTTGGTTAAAGATTATTGAATGGATACGTGTAATACATGTAAATTCACAGATCTCAAAAATAAGACATTTCTGGAAGAGCGGGAGTGTATAGATGCTGCTTCTTTCAGTGCTCTCCTTTCCAGCCATGTTAGCCTGACTTTTATCCGTCTCTCCCTCTGTAATTGAGGAGTTTATTTGAATATTACTGGCAATATCTACTGGCTTGAAGAATAGCTCCTTTTTCCTTCTAACCACTGATCATTCAGTGGCACCCAGACAGTCTTAGAAGTTTGCTTGTGGTGCATGATTTAATAAGTATAGTCGGACCCTTTAAAAATTTTGCATCTTTTGTTCCCATCCAGGTCATTAGGTCAACAGGGTTTTTCTGATTGTAATAATAGGAGATCATGAGCCTCCTTTTGGTTAAAGCTGTGTGACAGATTCTTGCAATATATCTGTTAGATTTGCTGAGCCCTAGCATAATCAAGATGACAGGTTTTTTTCAATTAAAGTCTAGTTGATTTACAGTGTTGTGTTACTTTCTGGTGTACAGCAAAGTGATTCAGTTATATATATATATTCTTTTCCATTATGATTTACTACAGGATATTGAGTATAGTTCCCTGTAGTATATACAGTAGGACCTTGTTGTTCATCTATTTCATATATAGTAGTTTGTATCTGCTAGTCCAAAACTTCTAATTTATTCCTCCCCCACCCCCTGCCCCCTTTGGTATCCGTCAGTTTGTTTTCTATGTCTGTGAGTCCCTTTCTGTTTTGTCAATAAGCTCATTTGCATCATATGTTAGAGCCCACATATGATGACAAGTGGTGTCAAGTGACACCCTATGGGATTTGCCTTTCACTCTCTAACTGACCTCACTCAGTATGAGAATCCCTAGGTCCTTCCATGTTGCTGCAAATGGCATCATTTCATTCTTTTTTATGGATGAGTCATATTCAATTATATATAAGTACACCGTGCAAGATGGCAGTTTTAAACATCAAAACCCATGACATTAGTAACAAATTGGAGTTGTTTTAGTTTTGGCCAGCTTATGAACTAATTATCCATTTGATAAACAATCAGGCAGAATTAGATACAGGTAGATTGTAGTTTTAGTAGGCATTGGAAAAATTCTTGAAGGGGTATTATAAGCCTTTTTTAATGTATTTATTTTACAATATCTTATTTTTTAAATTGAGGTATAGTTGATGTACTATGCTATATGTTACAGGCATACAGTTTAGTGATTCACAAATTTTTAAAGGTTATGCTCCACTTATAGTTATTATAAACTATTGGCTCTATTCCCCATGATGTACAATACATCCTTGTAGCTTATTTTATGCCTGATTGTTTATACCTCTTAATCCTTAACCCTAATTATACATTTGATTAACCGGGAGAATTTGACACAGATAGATTGTAGTTTTAGTAGGCATTGGAAAAATTCTTAAAGTGGGTATTATGAGTCTTAATCACAATTTTTATTGCATGTTGGGGCCCAGTGTTTTTGTGTGTAAGACATATGATACTAAAGAAAGGCAAGGTTTTACATACAAATACTTGATTTATACCGAACTGTTTGGAAACACAGCAAACATAAAAACACAAGTGGGCTATAGACTAAACATGGCCCTGGATATGTTCAGTTTGTCCCCACACATTGAGTCAACATTTAAAATTTAGGAGGCTCGTGCAGAAATCTGCATTTCAGAACTCCTCCTGAAGACTCAAATCTGGTCCCCCTTGAGCCCAGGCTCCTAGCAGACTGCCCTGCCGGGGTGGCCCCTTCTCAGTGGGACATGTGTTCTCCGGTTTGCTGTCCTCACCTGGGACCTTCACTTACTCAGGTCACCTATGTTGCCTCTGTAAGCATTTGAATTTACAATTCCTGTTGTATAATGTATTTTGATAAATATTTCAAGATTTTAAAGACACTCTATATTAATTTATAGTCTATTTCATATTTTATAATAATCCCTTAAGAGTGGGATGGAAGTTTTCAAATTAGAATTTATAAGTTGGTTTAATTAAGAAAACCTTTTTCTTTACATGCAAATAATCATATTCCCATTGGAATGTCTGCAAGCTTTATGAGATTAGTCATAGTTGTAATTGGATAGGTTATGCATGTTGCAGACAGTATGGTATCTTTCTCCTCAGCATAGCTCCTTAAAAATGTTTGATTCAGTAGCTAAATGGTTCTCTCTGGAGCAGTGTTTAGAGTGTCAGAAGTAGTCGTCGAGCAGTAAGGTAACTACAGAATGCCTGATAGACACTGCGATAGAAGCAAAGTTTCTTGGAACCAGCAAATGTCTTAAGTGAGTTTCAGAGAATGACTTCACAGGGAAACTTTCGAAGAGGTCAAGGAGGAGCCTGTTAAAGTGGAGGAGCACAGAGGGGCGAGGAGGAAGGGGCTGCTTGTGATTTACTTTATAGTGTATGTTTAAGTTCAGAGACTTAAGTTTTTAAATTCAGCTTTGAAATTCATATGTAATTTTGTACATTATCAACTGTTTTTGCTGTTTTACAGAGTAATTTGACACCATTTTTACTCGCTGTCAAGGAGAACAAAAAGGAAATGGTCAAATTTTTGATAGAGAATGGGGCAAATGTACATGCAGTTGACAACGTGCGAAGGTACAGTAGTTTGTTCTCTCTCTCTCTCTGTTTTTTTAAATCTTAATGTTGTTCTAGAGTAATAACAGCCAATCAGAAAGATTAACTCAATAAGAAGAGGATTAACTTAGAATCAACACATCATCAGTTAGGTAGAAAAGCAATTATCCTGCCTGGGTGTCACAAAGAACAGTATGCAGCAGGATTCATCTTCCTTTGTAATAGTGACTGATGTCATTTGCAACCTGATTTTCTTGGTCATGTGATCTTACAACAGTTCAGGGATTCATTTAGTTTATAGTATGGACTCTAATTTTAATTTACGTTATGAGACAGTGTTGAATTTCTTCATTCTTTTATAATTTTTTTAACCTCTTCTTGGTATATATTTTTGTCTTAAAATGTGCATATTAAACAAAGAGGAGTTTGTTTTGTCTTTTGGATGACTCTGCTTTAAATTACTTTCTTTGAAGGATACTGATGTTATTAGGCTGTCACTAAGTGAGTATCACTCAGTGAGTAACAATTACCAGATACTGTGGGTTAATCAGTTTTTATCCTTTTTCATTTCTAGTACATTTTAATGTTTTTATTTTTAATTGATAATGGTAGAAGGAAGAAACATAGCTCTAATTATTGAATAAACATTCTCTTTAAAGAAGACAAGTCATTGGTGGATGATAAAGAGGAAAGAGCTGGGCTTTAGAGTCAGATGGGGTTGGATTCCCAGCTCTCCCGCTGGTCAGGGATGTTACCTGGGGGACGTGACTTATCATCAAATATGTATCCTGACATGTAAAGGAGGGTCATAGTACATCCTTCAAGGGTGGTTGTGCCTAAGAAAGACCATACGTAAGCTATTCAGGTTAGTGCCGGGCACACGCTTCTCAGCGCGGTTAACTGCAGCCGTGACTACTTTTACTGTCATTTTTATTCATATTACTGTTTTCAGCCTGCAAACAGCTTCTCCTTACCTGACCTCTAGCTGACTTTAAAGTATAATATTTCAGACTAGGGAAGAAATGGGGAATCCTTTGTTTAAATCTTTACCTACTTCAGACAAGTGACCTCAGCATCCTTTCCTGTCCTTCAGAGGACTTTAAATTAGCAACTTCTACTTCGTGCTACCCACGTAGGACAGGAGGCTTCTTTTTTGTCCCTCCTTTGTGGCCTTGGAGGTCATTTGCAAAGATGAGCACTCGAGAAAGTAAATGGTCAGTTCTCCAGGGATGGGCAGGATATTAACTTGGTAAAATAGATCAAATTAACTGTTTAAGTTAAGCTAACTAAGTTCCTAAGGGTGAAGTTATCTCTTTTTTATTTTAGATCAGCGCTCATGCTTGCTGTATTTCATGACTCACCGGACATAGTCAAGTTACTTCTTCAAGAAGGTGTTAGTCCCTATTCTCAAGATTCACACGGAATGTCTGCTGAGCAATATGCATATTCTAATGGGTTTGAACAGTAAGTGTTTACATTAAAATGCCAATTATGTCTTAACTGAGGTTGGAAATGACCTAACTGTTACTTGTTATGTGGCAGGTGAGAGTTCCTAGTTGGGAGCAGGCACTTTGGGGATGGCAGTGAGACCCTCCACATCATCAGCTGGAAACCAGCAAAAGGCTAGACTAGTGAGATGGAGCAGTGGGCACAGGGTTCTTTAGCTCAGGCTTTGTAAGACCTTCATCCTTAGGGATCCTACTGTTCTCCATTTCATTCCAGTGTAACCCCTGTGCATGGGGGCACAAATAATATCACATATCTAATTTTTCTAACTAATTATTTGGGTCTTGAAATGTTTAGTTGAGCAGAAAATCCTGTGTTTTCCTCTGGGGACTTTCTTCTATAATCTTCCTTTTGAATTTTCCAGGAACCTAAGGGATTCCCTGAGATCACAGTTACAATCCTCTCCCACAAGGCACTGGGGCGGGGCGAGGGCATGCTAATCATTCTCTCGTTTCCCTTGATTCTGTTGCTGCAGTGTTGGTACTAAAACTGGTTTTAACAGGCTCTCCTTGGCAGCTGAGTCTGGGGTCTGGACGTTGCTCTCTAAAGACCTTTAATAAAATTTTAAAAGAAGAAAAGGAAAAAGAAACTGGTCCTGCAGTCGGGTCGTGACTGTCCTCTGCTCCCAGGATGCCCGTGCTGATCCAGTTTCCGCGGTCTTCGTGGTGATCGACACGTAAACTTCAGCATGACAGCTTGTTTAGTTCTCATACATATGCTTGTATGAGGTCATATATTTATAAGTAAATTTAGCTACAAATTATATAGTAGCTGAGGTGCCCTGAATTATAAGCCATGAAGAACAGCTAATCACCATAATTTGTAACATCTTCCTGAAAAATGCCACATTTAAATATTACACCTGTGAAAAAAACACACATTGGGTTTTATTTGGGATTCTCAAATAGTTCCAGCATTAAAGTTTAAGAACAAATTATTCCATTCTTCCACACTTTCTCTGAGCATCTGGGGATACATTATCTCATTAAATCTTTGTAATACTCTTATGAGTATTAATAACTAACTGCCTAAGAAGACAGTAAGATCCCAGTTTTATAAAGGAAGACTTTGAGCTGAAGAGAAGCAACTTTTCCAGGAACAAATAGCTGTTGGTTATAGAGCTGGGACTTCTGAATTCGAGACACTTTCCATATGTCAGGCTCGCTCTAGATAACTTACTGAGCTGTACTGCCCTCAGTTCATGACTACTTCACATTACTTTTTTTTCTTCTTTAATTATACATGCTAAATTTAAATGTTTGTAGATTGTACAAATTTGAAGTATATAGGACAATTGAAGTTTTGATATCTCTGATATTATCTGAAATAATCTAAGAATTTAATATATTTAGTAATTGTTTTTCATATTAGTATTCAAGTAGTAATATTTATTTATCACATTATTTTATATATAGCATTTACCAGCTGATTGTCGACTACAGAGACGGAAAGATATTAAATACTCCCTCTCAAAATAGCGATCTGGGACAGAATTCTGGTAATAAATTACTCTTGTTGGTCCTACCATAGATAAGGAAGTAAGATTGAGGAACTTTTGATAAGGAAACAGCAGTGAAAAAAGCCAGTGTGTAAATTTCATGTATGTTTTTATTTTTTAATTAAGTTTTTCTTAATGGTCTAGTATTCAGAATTATTTAAGAAGTTAATTGTATGTAATTTAAAATCTGAGACAATAATGTCTGAAAAGAAATTCATTTATTTAATCATATCCCCTGAAATCCCATATTATATCTTTGTGTAAGTAAGAAAAACGTTTTTTAACTTTGTTGTACATTTCCTCTAACATTATAACAAATTGGCCTTGTTATAGAACTGGACCTTTAGTTTTTATAGAGAATGGATTACATTGGGTAAATGAATGCTAGTTATTGCATAGTGATTAATCTCACTAAAAAAGTTACTATCTTTAAAATGAAACTCGGCAGTGCCTTCCTGGTGTTATAAACGAATGGCCAACAATTAGAACTGCACAACTGGGCCAGTGTGCAGCATACTAATAAGAGATTGTTTTTTTAAAGATACCTAGTGGTAGTGCAGAAGTCAGAAAAACAGTGCATTGTTGAGAAGCACTGGCTACTTTTTACATCATTATACCAACAAGGTCTCACTCGGTTACCAATTTCATTCCTCATAAGTGCAGACAGAATGCGATATGTTGACTTCATGAGAGTGAGATGTTTTCTTCTTTTTTGGGGGGGATACTTGTCTTGAAACTATAATTTTGTTAGGACAAGATTCTTTGTTGCCATTAGTTAAAGGGTTGTCATAATAAATACTCAAATAACACAACTCAGGACTCAACAAATTGCAATAAAAGCACAGAAGGGCTTCACATAAAAAAAAAAATGACTGTGTTGCCTAGATGTGACCCCTAGCATGCTGTTCAGTCTGAACTGTATGAGAGCACCTTTAACTTGGTAGACCTCGATCAAGCAAAGAACTTCTGTTGCAGGAAATACAAAGATGGAATAGACAGAGTTTTGGTCTTCAAGGTGCTCATAACACAATAGAGTTGTCCCTGGTTAGTGTCTCTATTTTTTTTTTAAAACAGGATTGTCAAAGAAAACAGTCTTATCTGTGAATTCACCCACTTGACAGATGACTGTCAAGTGTGTTTTAGGTACTAAGCGCCACTCTGACGTCACAGAATGCAAACAGGTCACAAGCACAGTTCCTGGCCTCCAGGAGCTCGTTACTGTCATCACCATTTTTATGATTGACTTTACTTTATTCTGTGCTTACTGTGTCCCAGAGCCCACTAGGACTTTGTAACTGTCTTTATGTATTTTTTATTGATATTTAATATGTGCCAGATACTTTAAGTCCACGGTGAGGAAGGGAGTGTTTTAAAAGTGGGTAGGATGTCAGGTAAGCATGCAGAGTGAGTAGTAGTTTGCCAGGGAAGGAGGCAGAAGGGCAGTGTATGGTGGGCAGGACATCTTTCAAGACTACATTTGGCAGAAAGGACAGCAGTGCAAACGCTAAGATTGCTGGTGAACTTTGCAGGATCTATGAGTTTCATTTTGTAGGTGCAAAAAGGATGCTGTAGGAATGGTTGGGAAAGAGGTGGCTAGCTAGCTCAGGCA